GAAATATAATTAAAGATAGATCCTCACCGCGCTAGAGTCCCGTGAGATCTAATGTTTTTAAGTAATTTTTAAAACTAGTAAATGTCTGTATCTTTCGAGACTCGTCCGGTAAAGCGTTCCATAGTTTCGATGCAGCATATCTCCATGATCTTAACCCGAAGGTTGTTGATTTTACTTTTGGGAGGTCCAGTATTGTGGTGCCCCTAAGATTATAAGTGGAGCACCTAACTGTTATAAGATCACGTAAGCTTTTTGGTCCTGCATCACTAGTTAATATCTTAAAGACAGTGGACAAAATTTTCGCTAATCGCTGTTCACGAAGACTTGAGAGACCGATACGCTTACAAAGTTCCTCATAAGGGGAGGACTTATCTCTAAAAACAAAACGGAGCGCACGTTTGTTCACCAACTCTAACTTGTCAGCTGATTTCTTATTACAGAAGTGCCACGTTTCGGAGCAGTAATTAAAGTGTGGTAAAATGAAGGCTTTGTAAAGATCCCTTCTAGTCTCGAAAGACAACATTTTCTGCATCCTTTTTAACACAGCCACAGTTCTCGCTGTTGGCGAGCTCTATTTCCAATAGAATTATGCAACCGATATATGGAGCATAGTGGGGTTCTTTCTCACTTTTAATAGTTCTTTCTGCTAGGATCGACTTTACAAGGAATGTACATTAATTGCTTTCTTCTTGGACGGGTAACTCGCCTTTAGTTAAAAGTAAAAAACTAACGGTAAAATTACAGAGATATCTCCTACAACAAGTTCTTTCTTCGGTAAAAAGTTTCAAACTCCTGGGATAACGTATCAGGTAAAACTCTCAGAGTAAAAAGAAGGCAGCAATAAACCATTAGGGAGTGTCTCTCGAGCAAATTAATTTCTTAAGAATACTACCATGCCAGCATCTTATTCTAAACCAAAACAGTGCACGAACTTGTTTTGTTATTTGCAAACCAAATAGGTCAAGCATGCCGATCTATTGTTTTCAAAGAACCCATACAGGAAAAAGTCATGAAAGGCCATCTGATTAGGCTTGAACAGGTGCCCCATCAAGGCGGCTGTAATGTGCTGTGTTATTTGGAGCCCAATTGTATGTCCATAAATGTTGGGCCTCAAGGAGAGAGCTACATTTGTGAGTTAAACAATGCTTCGGACGAAAGCCCAGGTTCGTCGGACCTTCAGAGTAAACGATATTATACCCATCTCAGTATCGAGTGAAAATAACTCATTTTAGACAATGAATAATTATTGTGGGCGATCTGTTTGTGAGATTACTTCTTAAAACTTTGATACATGACGTCAAGCGATAAGGCTATAGCTTTTTTGAAATGAATACCGTATATATTAAGAGAAACAGCCGCAGATGAGCTTGACATCCTACCTCTCTTGCGATACAATAACAAAACAATGTTCACGGTTTCTAGAGACTTCGGATAACGGTTTCCTCAAATACAGCCGTTTTGAGGGCAATAAAATTGTTTTACCCATTGCTTTCGTCTGATTGGCTGAATCGCTAATGGATATTCCCCGCTGGCGTCTTTGTGTCCAGTAGCGTACATAATCCATAATCATTAAAGCAGCACCTGTCTTAGCCACGAACGACAGCAAGAATATCTCCTTGAAAAATTCTGTTGAACAAGCCAACTGGAGTCAGTTCAAGTTCTACGAACATTTACGTAAACGCATTGAAATCAACAGCAAATTTTTACCGTCAGCTGGACAGAGATGACTGTTTTTAAAATAATGTAAATTGCTGTTTCAACGCGTAGCTGGTAAATTTTTCTCCTAGAAAACAAATAAATGGCGGAAACGTGCAGAAGGAAACTCGAAGCTTCCGTTTTACTCTTAAGCATCTTCTTTCAAAGCGGCATCATTATTCCGATTTCCACTGAATGTTCAGGTAAGTCAACTGTGTTTTGAATTTGTTTTTACCGATATTCCTTCAATTCATTTCCATAGTTTAAATAAAACCTTTTTTTTCCTTTTTTTTCTTGGAAATTTACAAACGATGGATTTGCTATTACTTGTCCCACTGATGAGAGTGAAAATTAATTTCAATTAGAATAATAATTTATTGTTATATCTTCTCACTGAAAAATACGCATTAGCGCCACTGTTGGCGAAACTCTATTTCCAGTAGAATTATGCAACTGACATATGGAGCACAATGGGGTTCTTTCTCACTTTTAATAGTTCTTTCTGCTAGGATCGAATTTAGAAGGGATGTACATTATATGCTTTCTTCTTTGACGGGTAACTCGCCTCTGGTTTTCACAACTTGATTAAGCGTACTTTCAAAAACTAACGGTAAAATTACAGATATATCTCCAAAGACAAGTTCTTTCTTCGGTAAAAGTTTCAAACTCCTGGGATAACGTAGCAGGGAAAACTCTCAGAGTAATAAACCATTATGGAGTGTCTCTCGAGGCAAATTAATTTCTTAAGAATTTTACCCTGCCATTATCTTATTTTAAACCAAAACAGTGTAGGAACTTGTTTTGTTGTTTGTCAACCAAATAGGTCAAGAATGCCGATCCATTGTTTTCAAAGAACCCATACAGGAAAAAGTCATGAAAGACCACTTGATTAGGCTTGAAGAGGTGCTCCATCAAGGCAGCTGTAATGTGCTGTGTTATTCGGAGCCCAATTGTGTGTCCATAAATGTTGGGCCTTCACAAGGAGGGAACTACATTTGTGAGTTAAACAATGCTTCGAACGAAAGCCCAGGCTCGTCCGACCTTCAGAGCAAACAAGATTATACCCATCTCAGTATCGAGGTAAAGTGAGTTATTTTAGACAATGAACAATTATTGTGGGCGATCAGTTTGACGGATTACCTCTTAAAGTAGCCTTGCAATTCTTGTACATGTATTGAATTGAAGTGATTCCTCAGTATTGCTTTCCGCATCCTGAGAAACTTTTTGACCTGATTTCGATGTTATGAAATTGAGAGATTTTTCCTTCTCTTATATATGACATTCTTCCAAACGCTAGGGAATTTTACTTATCCATCAAATGTTTTTTTTTTTCCTTTTTTTTTTCAAGTATTACTTTATGTACTTTATGAAACTATCAAGAAATATGCTGTGAAACGATGAAATAGCCCACGTGATTAGTACTAGTTCGGGCATAAAAAGGGCAAGATTTGCCTATCCGCTATCTCTTTGGTGACCCGTCCTTTGTATGGTAGTTCTAGAAACAGGGATTGGTGGAGAATTGGCAAGAAAAATGTCAATTAAAAAATCCTTCGATAACTTTTATTTATTTATGAAGGATCACCTGGAAAGGGGAGAATATCAAAGCTAAGATACACCAGTGTTGTCATCTCTGCAATGTTAAAAAAAAAAAACAAGAAAAACAAGATACTCGTTGCTAAAATGAAGGGAACCATTCAAAAGAAATCATGATCAATCGCTACTCAAAAAACCAAATGGTTTAGGGACTGATAAAGTGCTTCTTGTTTGTACTTATTTTATAAAAAGCCTAAAATATTTATAATTCCAGCAAGAATGCGTTCTTTAATTTGAGTTTACATGATAACCCAGGCAAGCAAACTAACTATAGATGTTTATGATACCCATTTATTTTGCCTTTAACAGAATTCCTGCAGCAGCAGTCCCTGTTTCAACAATGGCACATGTCAAGTTGGATACACTGATAAAGGATTTCGCTGTAAATGTCCTTTAGGATTCACTGGTGCAATCTGCAGCAAAGGTATTCAAATAAAAAACTGTGAAGTGGAATCAATACCGAATGATTATATTCAGGTGGATAAGAATTTCCTATTTTTATTATAGCCTGCAGCTTTGACTTTGAAGATGGAATCGGCGGGTGGGAAATGATAGGCAGAGCTTTCATTTACCAGCCTACATTTGGTGACAATCCAACATATCGCCGCAGAGAAAGCGCCAATCTGCAAGGGGACTGGTGGATAGGGGGAGCTGAGAAACGGCCCAGTGAGAACGATACCGCCGGGGTTCAGCATTCAGATGGACCCGATGTACCCCAAGGAACTCTCACCTCACCTTGTTTTCGTATCGTTGGCAATACTATCTCGTTTCTCATCGGTGGGGGATGTGACTTAGGTAATGTTCGTGCAGAGCTTATTGTTGACAACCAGGTGAGATTATGCGGCACTTCGACCATTATATTCAGTCTTTAATTCTTGTGAAACAACCTAAGTAGATTGATCAGAGTATCAGAGGTTTGCTTTTTCAAAATTGCGAAACCATTTTGAGCTTCGTAATATCCATAAAGGTTGCTTATTTTGAATTTCCTCTGAGGAAAGTTCACGAGATAACCAACTATGCGTCTAGCACATTATACTTTGCGTTATTTCTCTTTGGCTTACCATCGCTCGAAACGAAAGTATTTTTCCCCAAGTTCAAAGCATTGCAAGTCAATTAATGTACGATATATTCATGTTAGATATGTCAGCAATCGTCGAAACTAAGGTTTAAAAGCTTTTGCGTTTGTCATTACGTTAAGGTCGTCAGAAATGAGACAGGGAATTGTTCAGAGACAATGTTCCGTAAGAGCTGGGACGTAGAGGAGTTTATTGGTCAATATGCGCAAGTCAGACTTGTAGATGAGAGTTCTGGTGGTTACGGTCATATCAACTTTGATGACCTTAAAGGAGATATCATTTGTCCTCACGATTTAGACGAGATAAACTGAAAAGACAGCGGCTCTTGAAACTGACACATCACCTCAAGTGAGAATTTTTAAAAATAGTCACCTTGAAAGTATGATTAAACAGCTTTTGACGTAATAGTTGCTTTGTGCTGGCATAAATAGGCACAAATCACTCTGTTTTTTCAGCAGTAGCAAAGCATTTTGAAACAATTTTAGCACATGTCTGTGAAGGCTATAGTCATATAATCCAATTGTTATATCGGTTTGCTGCGAGAATAAGGAGATTCAATTACTTTAGATGCTAGCAATCGCATATCAAAGTGTTTTATTCGTTGAAACGTCTTTTGAAGGCATTAAAGTACACACGATATTTACTTTGCAAAATCCATAGCTGTAAAAGCTATAAACCCCCAAATTCATCGTCACGGGTTCCTCTTAAGCACATTAAAGACCTCACAGCAGAAAGCATAAATAAACCACAGTTCATCATCCCACATATCACACCGAAAAAGATCAAGGAGTCGCTAAAACTCATGCCATACCACAAGGCGGCGGGTTCTGAAGGTCTCAGTGCTAGGGTACTGAAAATAGTTGTCCCTGCAATCTACTTACCACTAAGCCGGCTTATCAACCACTGCATTGATATGGGCAATTTCCCGTCTGCATGGTAAACTGCCAAAGCTACGTCTTTTTACAAGGGGCGAGGAAGTAAAGACGACAAGAGCAATTGTCGTCCAATCTCAGTACTCTCTTTACTATAAAAAAATTTTGAGAAAAATATCCACCAAGCCCTGTACAACTTCATGAGAAACAACAACTTGTTGTACACCTTGCAGTAAGGTTTCCGAAGATCCTACTCTACGGAGACAGCGCTCTATCAGTGTTGTGGATGAAACGACACGTTTTTGATAAAATATCGGGACCTAGACGATCCATTAAGATCACCGATCACTTCACGTACACCTCCGCCAATGTAATCTATTGCATAACTTACACTTATTGTAAAAAGATATACATCGGCGAAACAGGCAGAAGACTAGGTGACCAATTCCGAGAACACCTTCGAGACGTGGAAAGGAATGACAAGGACACATCGAAACCAGTCGCTAGACATTTTGATTTACCTAATCATTCTAAGCAACATATGGCAATCTGCGGTCTTTCTTTACACTTAGGTAGCACGGAAAGCCGTAAAAATCTTGAACAAAAGCTCATCTTTCAAACCGGCAGTCTAAATCCCACAGGGATCAACGAACGCTTTTCATTCCACTAATTTATTCTTGTTTTTCTCGTTGCCATGTTCCCACCAATAACGTAGCTCCATTTTCTGCCTTTAAAAGCACACACAACCCACAATTCCTCTATTCGCTCCGACGAAGGGCTAACGCTCGAAACGTCAGCTTTTGTAATCGTTACGGTGGCCAATTTACCATTTCAACTTTGTTGATATATCCAAATTATTTCGTTACNGCGAGGAAGTAAAGACGACAAGAGCAATTGTCGTCCAATCTCAGTACTCTCTTTACTATAAAAAAATTTTGAGAAAAATATCCACCAAGCCCTGTACAACTTCATGAGAAACAACAACTTGTTGTACACCTTGCAGTAAGGTTTCCGAAGATCCTACTCTACGGAGACAGCGCTCTATCAGTGTTGTGGATGAAACGACACGTTTTTGATAAAATATCGGGACCTAGACGATCCATTAAGATCACCGATCACTTCACGTACACCTCCGCCAATGTAATCTATTGCATAACTTACACTTATTGTAAAAAGATATACATCGGCGAAACAGGCAGAAGACTAGGTGACCAATTCCGAGAACACCTTCGAGACGTGGAAAGGAATGACAAGGACACATCGAAACCAGTCGCTAGACATTTTAATTTACCTAATCATTCTAAGCAACATATGGCAATCTGCGGTCTTTCCTTACACTTAGGTAGCACGGAAAGCCGTAAAAATCTTGAACGAAAGCTCGTTGCCATGTTCCCACCAATAACGTAGCTCCATTTTCTGCCTTTAAAAGCACACACAACCCACAATTCCTCTATTCGCTCCGACGAAGGGCTAACGCTCGAAACGTCAGCTTTTGTAATCATTGCGGTGGCCAATTTGCCATTTCAACTTTGTTGATCTATCCAAATTATTTCGTTACTCCCACCGACGCAGCCCCAAACAGTTTCTTTCGAAAGTATCAGCCTTGATTTAAGATAAGTCTTATTTTTACTCACATTTTCCCCTTTTACCTCGGTATGACGTCCTGGGCAACAGTCCCCTTGTAGGCCATTCAGAAGCTATCATACAATAGACTTAGGTGCTTCAGTAGTTGCGGTTGCACTCAACAGCTCATTGATGAGTTTCACGTTCCCTGATTCCGCATCCGTTACGAATATTGTTTCCCCAACAGTACAAATTACGTATGGTTCAACCACTCTGACCACTCCCCACTTGAATCGTTACTCACCTTGTCGACTGAGTTAAATACTTTGACTTGATAAGCTCCAGAATCTCTAAAGAACAAAGGGTTTTATAAGGGCGTAAATCGTTTGATTTCTGAGCAAGAATTGGTCTCGTTCTTTGACACATATCAACTGGTCCACCCTCTAGATCGATCTAGATTAAAGGAATACAAACCACCAATAGTACTTGGATACTATATCACTCTTTGCTTATCATCTGTACATACTAATCCTTCGTCCCTTGCAATACAAAGGGCGGTGGGGCTGGGTAAAGGTGGCTCAATGTGAACACGATCAAGATGAGTTATCCTTCGGACGTGCGATCTGCTTAAGGTGTTGAGCAAGGCACTTACGTAAAGTTGCGACAGTTCCCTCAAGGGAAAGTTTTTAGGCTCTCAGCTTGCTTTCCAGCTCGGTGCGAGATCGAAGGTAGGGTACAATCGCACTGATTCTTTATGTCAATAGACCGAATTTTCATGTTGCCACGTTCTATGAAAAAACCTACCCTACAAGAAAAACATACGTCTCTAGCGTATTTGTATCCCATTTCCTCTTCGAATATATCTGCTGGTTGATGAAGACAGATTCGTAGTAATCTTGTAGAGCAGAGAGTAAAGTCATAATCAAGTACAAGAATGCTACTCTTTGATCCTGAACAAACGCGACAGGATGGGAACATGCACCAGGCATGCTGGACTTTCAATATCTGTACTTTGATACATTTGATGACTGACAATCGCTTGCTTGTTTAACGGTCGACGGTAAAAATGATACTTTTTCGACGGTTAATGGTTAATATTTTGGCTGTAGAACAGTTGACGGTGAACCTCGGCCCATTGAGACCCTCCAATCAGACTGATTAAAGCTCATCACAATTCTTTGCTTACATAGGTTCTAAAAATCAAATTTGGTCGTTGAAATTTGCGAAACCGTCTCCTGTCTCCGTAAGATAGAAAGATTGCAAGCTAAATTAGATCCGCGCGAACTTCGCTATCTGTTAACAGGTGAGACCGTCTGGTGGAATTCTACGTTGTAATATTTCCCTCTCTGCCTTCTTTTATTGGGCAACACTGATATGCAATGTCATATACAGCTATAGCATGTGGGCATGAGCCATTCGGCGATCCTTCAACTACTAGGCAAGATTGTGCACGGTAACTTGTGAGCAACTTTCAGCGTTTTCAGCAACTTTTTATATTGCGAGCAACAGTCAGCAACCTGGAGCAACTTTTGCTTTCCTAGGCAACTTTTGAGTCAACAAATTGTTAAAAGCTGACCAAACAATCAGACAGGTCTTTATCAAAAAGTTTTTGTTAAAACTGGTCTAAACAAAGGATGTCGTCCGTTTTTACAAATTATTTATAAAATAACATGTGCGCCCACAAACTGGATAGCAGCTATCAATCTAACGGGCGCTTACATCCAGCGGTTATTCGCTCCAACAATAGAGCTGCCCGCGCGTGCGAGGCATCACGATTAGAAGCTGAAATGTCTGACGAGGAAAATGAAAGTAATCAGGTATTGACCCTATTGAGGTTACCATAGCCGCTAGGGCAACTCTTAATAGTCCTGCCAGAGCTTCAGTCGCTAGAAAGCGCAAAATTCTCGTCAACGAAGGCAAATACGAACAACTAGAAGTGGTACTCGACCTCGTCCTCCGGGAAAGGAAGCACAACATGCGCTTGGGATCGCGTGAAAGACTATTCAAAAGATCTTTAGAAAATACTTTCTATTATTATTCTATCTTTTCGCAGCCTCCGCTCATTTCATTCAAACGCGACAAAAACATAGGCAATTTTTTGGTCAGAAGCTCTTTTCAGACTAATGACCAACCAGGCACTTTTAAATGCGCTCGTGCACGATGCAAAACGCGTCCTTTTATTCACAACACTGATAAAATATCGGGACCAAAACGATCAAATAAGATCACCGATCACTTCACGTGCACCTCCCCCAATGTAATCTATTGCATAACTTGCACTTATTGCAAAAAGATATACATCGGCGAAACAGGCAGAAGACTAGGTGACTGATTCCGAGAACACGTTCGAGACGTGGAAAGGAATGACAAGGACGCATCGAAACCAGTCGCTAGACATTTTAATTTACCTGATCATTCTAAGCAACATATCGCAATCTGCGGTCTTTCATTACACTTAGGTAGCACGGAAAGCCGTAAAACTCTTGAACAAAAGCTCATCTTTCAAACCGGCAGTCTAAATCCCACAGGGATCAACGAGCGCTTTTTATTCCACTAATTTATTCTTGTTTTTCTCGTTGCCATGTTCCCACCAATAACGTAGCTCCATTTTCTGCCTTTAAAAGCACACACAACCCACAATTCCTCTATTCGCTCCGACGAAGGGCTAACGCTCGAAACGTCAGCTTTTGTAATCATTACGGTGGCCAATTTACCATTTCAACTTTGTTGATATATCCAAATTATTTCGTTACTCCCACCGACGCAGCCCCAAACAGTTTCTTTCGAAACTATCAGCCTTTATACTTTCTATTATTAGTTACGTTGATAATATATTTATCACAACAAATGATGCTAAATTACGCATAAGTCATGTTTTAAGTAGTAATCTAGAACAAAATGACTCTCAAAAGTAAGCAACTCTTTTAAATTTGGGTGCCAACTTTTAAATTTTTGAGCAACTTTAGAGCAACTTTTGGGTGTATTGTCAAGCAACTTCCGGTGGATTTACTATCACAATCTATTCATGCCTAAATACATCCTCTAGACGAGCTCTTAGCGCCAATGAAATGTAACAGTTGCTCCGGGGCAGATTTAAGCATGTCCCGTATGTGCTCGTAAAATGCTAAGAACTTGCTGACTGGAATTTCCAAATGTTGCTGAAAAAACTGCCAAAATCCCAAAAGATGCT